CCAACTTCAATTGGGCTAGAGCAGGGATGGAAAAGCTGTGGGACTCCAGGTACTGTTGATTTATATCAGGGATAGCCAACATGGCGCTGTCTGGATGTTGTTAGACTACATCTCAATTCCCATCATATCTGACACACTGAACATGTGGGCTGGGGTGCCTGTGCCTACCTACACTTGATACTGGACTCCAATAAGGGTAAGTGGGACACGGGTGGCGCTGTGGGTTAAACCACAGAGCCTAGGACTTGCCGATCAGATGGCCGGCGGTTCGAATCCCCGCAACGGGGTGAGCTCCCGTTGCTTGGTCCCTGCTCCTGCCAACCTAGCAGTTCGAAAGCATGTCAAAGTGCAAGTAGATAAATAGGTACCACTCTGGCAGGAAGGTAAATGATGTTTCCGTGTTCTGCTCTGGTTTGCCAGAAGTGGCTTAGTCATGCTGGCCACATGACCCGGAAGCTGTACGCCGGCTCCCTCGGCCAATAAAGCGAGATGAGCACCGCAACCCCAGAGTCGGTCACGACTGGACCTAACAGACAGGGGGTCCTTTACCTTTACTTAAGGGTAAGTAGCTCTAATGGTCACTTGCCCTTATTTTTAAGGGCTGCAGCTCTGTACTTTGAACAGCAGTAGTACAGACAGGTGTCAGCAGGTGAACATCCATCCTCCCCCTTGCTCCCAGGCATTGAGATATCGCGGTGGCAAAGGCTTCAGTTGTTGATTTCTTCCTGTTGTGCAAGGAAGTTCTTCCATGAAAAGCAACGAGCAGCCAAGTTGCTAGGAAGCATCTCTTTTTAACATGCCACTGGGCTAATACACCAGTCGCTTACTACCTCACCCAGGGCCAGCTGCTCCTTAGCTTGCTTAACACAGCTCTGAGATGGGCTGCTCTGCCAAATGCCAGAGGGCCCAAAACAGAGGCGGACTCACCCTAGGAGGGGAAATGTGCTCGTTCCGTGGCACAGCAACCGTCCGTTAGAGATTGCATGCTTCTGGCACACGCCGGCTCTCAGGAGTGGAGAGTCAAAAAACATTGGCCAACTCAGCAAAGGGTTGGGTGAGGACCTGGGGCAGCAGGGACGGGAACCTCTGTTCTTAAGAAGAAAAAATAATGCTAAAACAGTGGTACCTCAGGTTAAGTACTTAATTCGTTCCAGAGATCCGTTCTTAACCTGAAACTCTTCTTAACCTGAAGCACCACTGTAGCTAATGGGGCCTCCTGCTGCTGCCGTGCCGCCGGAGCACGCTTTCTGTTCTCATCCTGAAGCAAAGTTCTTAACCCAAGGTACTATTTCTGGGTTAGCGGAGTCTGTAACCTGAAGCGTATTGTAACCCGAGGTACCATTGTACTTACCGTAATTCTCCTCCAATGTATATATACAATTTCACAGTACTTGCATGGATCGGTCACAACATTCACGGACAGCTCCATGTGTACGTAGCAAAGCCCAGATGAGTTGTGGAGAAGAGAACAGCCTTTCTAGAACCTTACCATAAAGGTGAAGGTAAACGGACCCCTGACCATTAGGTCCAGTCACAGCCGGCTCTGGGGTTGCGGCGCTCATCTCGCTTTATTGGCCGAGGGAGCCAGCGTACAGCTTCCGGGTCATGTGGCCAGCATGACTAAGCCGCTTCTGGCGAACCAGACCAGGGCAGGAAAATGCCGTTTACCTTCCCGCCGGAGCAGTACCTATTTATCTACTTGCACTTTTGATGTGCTTCCGAACTGCTAGGTGGGCAGGAGCAGGGACCGAGCAATGGGAGCTCACCCCGTCGCAGGGATTCGAACCACCAACCTTCTGATCGACAAGTCCTAGGCTCTGTGGTTTAGACCACAGCGCCACCCGCATCCCAGAACCTTACCATACTCGGAGTCAAATGAATGCAGAAGTTTGGGCAGATTCTGAGTGGAACTTGACAGTTCTGCCCATATGATCTCCAATGGGTGGTGTAGCAGTTGCATGTTGCAGTTTGGCTGGGGAGGCCGGAATTCGTATTCTTGTTAAAACGCTCAGACCCAGCTTGCAAAACACATTGAGCTTCAACGAAAAACACCTTCAGCCAGCTAAAATGTGATCTTTAAACTTTTGACTAGAAGTGCAAACAAGCTTGCTATCAAAATGTTACCGTCTAAACTGCGGGAATAAAGTAGGAATCCCATCAAAAGGGGGAGGGGGAGGTGTCCAGACTCTGCTCCCTGCCTCCCACATTCTCTGACTTCCTCCATGCTAATCAGTTGCAAACAGTAAAACTTGAAAGTCTCATTATCACTCAATTACTGTATTTTTCTGTCTATAAGGCGCCCCCATGTATGAGACGCCCCCAATTTTGGGGGACTCAGATTTAAGAAATTGGATGGAGATGTATCTGTGTATAAGATGCTCCCTAATTTTTGACGTTGTTTTTTTAGGGGGAAAACCTAGTCTTATACACGGAAAAATACCATAACTTGCCAGAGCAGGGAGGATCTATCAGTCACCCTAACATTCTGCTAGATTCCTCCTCAGAAAAAATGTCCTAGAGCTATGTGCCCCTGCGCTCCATTGCTGCTCTGCCACTGCTTGTCATCATGTGCCACTCCTGTGTTCTGTACAGTTCCTATCCCATTGTGTTAAATTAACTTTTGTTACTATCTGTAATCAATCTTGGTTCTCTACAAATCCACTCTCCTGTTTACACCTTGGAAATGTAGCCACACAGGTGCTTAGAACTGTTTTGATGCCACTAACACAGATGTGGGGGATATTTGGTCCTCCAGACGATGCTAAACCACAACTCCCTGGCTGGCTATTGGCCGTGCTTGCTAGGGCTGATGGGAGTTATAGTTCAATAACATGCACTAACTTATTAATAGGTATGGTTGTTATTGGGGACGAAGGTGGCGATGTGGTCTAAACCACTGAGCCTCTTGGGCTTGCTGATTGGAGGGTCAGCAGTTCAAATCCCCGTGACGGGCTGAGCTCCCGTTGCTGTGTCCCAGCTCCTGCCAACCTAGCAGTTCGAAAGTAGATCAATGGGTACCGCTGTGGCGGGAACGTAAACGGCATTTCCATGCGCTCTGGTTTCCGTCACGGTGTCCCGTTGCACCAGAAGCGGTTTAGTCATGCTGGCCACATGACTCTGAAATCTGTCTGTGGACAAACGCTGGCTCCCTCGGCCTGAAAGTGAGATGAGCGCCGCAACCCCATAGTCGCCTTTGACTGGACTTAACCATCCGGGGCTCCTTTACCTTTTGCTATACAGTGGTATCTCGGGTTGCATATGCTTCAGGTTACATACGCTTCAGGTTACAGACTCCGCTAACCCAGAAATAGTACCTGGGTTAAGAACTTTGCTTCAGGATGAGAACAGAAATCGTGCGGCGGCGGCACTGCAGCAGTGGGAGGCCCCATTAGCTAAAGTGGTGCTTCAGGTTAAGAACAGTTTCAGGTTAAGAACGGACCTCCAGAACGAATTAAGTACGTAACCAGAGGTACCACTGTACTGGACCGAAGTGACAGGGAATGCAAAGGAGTCTTGTTAACAGATCAGCTTAAGGAGTATGCCATCAGGTTTCACAGAACTCTGCGCAATAAAGAATTCTTTAAAACTCAAAAGCTTCCACCCTTAGATAAATGTAAGTTGGTCCAGCAAAACATGTTGACAGGTTGGCAAAAAAGGGGGGGTAATCAAGGAGAGTTGCTGAAGGGCAGACACACCCTCCCTCCCTAATTCTCGAGGCTTTCTGCCCCACCTCTGCTGGCTGGAAGCCCGGTACATCTGTACCCCCTTGAGCACTTCTGCCCACGCACCCCCTATTCGTGGCACATGCTGCCGGGGCAGGATGCCCAGGTGGCTGCCACTCACGGAGAGATGGGACTGTTTCATTACTTGCTGCTAGTCTGGCGCACGCACTCTGGCTGGCGCTGGGTGGGCCGCCAAAGCCAGCCCCAATGTGACAGAATGCAGCTTACCTATCCATGTGTTGGGGGTGGAGAGGAAATCGAGAAGCTGTTTTGTAGAGCTATTTTTACACCCTTCTGCCACTCCTGGCAGATTACTTTTGAGGGTAAGGCAGAAGTTGGTTAAAGGTAAAGGGACCCCTGACCATTAGGTCCAGTCGCGGACGACTCTGGGGTTATGGCACTCATCTCGCTTTCAGGCTGGGGAGCCGGCCTTTGTCCACAGACAGCTTTCCAGGTCATGTGGCCAGCATGACTAAACCGTTTATGGCACAACGGGACACCCTGACAGAAACCAGAGCACACGGAAACGCCATGTACTTCCGGCCATAGCAGTACCTATTTATCTACAGTGGTACCTTGGATTAAGAACTTAATTCATTCTGGAGGGCCGTTCTTAACCTGAAACTGTTCTTAACCTGAAGCACCACTTTAGCTAATGGGGCCTCCCACTGCCGCCACGCGATTTCTGTTCTCATCCTGAAGCAAAGTTCTTAACCCGAGGTACTATTTCTGGGTTAGCGGAGTCTGTAACCTGAAGCGTCTGTAACCTGAAGCGTCTGTAACCTGAAGCGTCTGTAACCCGAGGTACCACAGTACTTGCACTGGCGTGCTTTCGAACTGCTAGGTTGGCAGGAACTGGGATGGAGCGATAGGAGCTCACCCTGTCGCGGGGATTTGAACCGCCAACCTTCCGATTGGTAGGCCCAAGAGCCTCAGTGGTTTAGACCACAGCACATGCAACAATATCCATTGCGGCTAGTAGCCTGACAGTAGCTATCAGGAACAACAGCTATGCCCCCAAGGAGAGTCGACAAACACACACACAGCAGCTATATACAGCATAATGCCCAATTTATTAGGATCAGCCTGATTGCAACCCGCTAAATGGTTTCCTAGGAGCAAGCACCATTGAATCCCGTTCTGCTGACTTCCGACTAAAAGGGTTCAACTTGTGAAACGCGGAGAACTTTTAACAAATGAATCTACGGCAGCCTGAAATGCATCCTTTAACTTTTAATTGGAAATGCTAACCATCTTGCAAAGATGTGTTACTATTCACACCATCAAGAATTAGAAGCCCCATCAAAGGAAAGGAAAAGAGGCTTTGCTCAGACGATGTTCCACATTCTCCGCCTTCCTCTGTTCTAATCTGTCACAAACAAATTTGAAAACTTCATTAGCATCACTTCATTTACTTGCCAGAGCAGGGAGGTTCTGTCAATTACCCCCTGCTCTTAAAAAGAGAGAGAGAGAGAGAGAGAGAGAAAGTCCTGGAGCTCCATTCCTCCTCCACTAAAGCTTTGCAAATTAACAGATCTTTACATTCAAAACTGTAATGCTAGAAAAATGAATTGGAAGAACCCAGAGGCCATTTAATTTACCAGCTGAATTGCACAACCACTTTATCCCCCAGCTACCTGACCGTAACATTTACGGGCAAGCTTTTACTGTGGCTTCCGAGCATTCCTGGGTAAGCAAACACAATCCTGTGCTTTCAGCTTTTAATTCGTTTACTGTTTTATATTGCATTTTAATTGATGCGTTTGTTTTGTGAGCCGCCCACAGAGCTTATGCTGTGGGGTGGCTACATAAATCCAGTTGATAAAATAAAATAAAAATAATGAATAATACATCCTTCCCAGAAGAATGAGCAGCGAGGGCTCCATCTGGGAATTCTGCTTTCCCTAGAATGTGGTCCTGGTTTGTGGGACAATTCATACACTCAGTAGAGGCAGTCCCTGCTTCCCAGGGCTTCATGTCTAAGAAGAAACGTGCTGTGACTCGAGGGTGCCTGCCAGGCATATTGCCTAGGGCTGAAATCTCCGCCCTTCGGCTCAAATATTTGAAAACAGCGTTCCCAAGCGGAAAAGCAGCTGGGAGATGACACTGACTGCACACACATCATACATGTAAATCACATTTTTCACCCAAGGAATATTGGGAATTGTAGTTTGTTAAGGGTGCTGTGAACTGTAGCTCTGTGAGGGGGTAAGCTATAGATCTCATGATTTTTTTGGGGGGGGGGTGTTGTCTACACCGTCCAAGTGCATAGTCAGAAGCTGTCTTCGTTATCATTGCTTCACATTTGTCAGAAATGGTTCCTGGCACTGGTTTTTTAAGGTGAGGGAAGCTGGCGTTGTGGCTCTGATGGACCTTTGGCAAGAAAAACGTACAAACAACATAACCATTCGTTATTTTTTTGGATCTAGATGCAGAGGGAATCCTACTAAGCATCTGACTCGGTCACCCCAGCTACTCTGGGCGTCTTCCTGAATGTATAAAAACATAAAACATTAGACCAGGGGTAGGCAACCTAAGGCCCGGGGGCCGGGTGCGGCCCAATTGCCTTCTCAATCCGGCCCATGGACAGTCCGGGAATCAGCGTGTTTTTACATGAGTAGAATGCGTGCTTTTATTTAAAATGTATCTCTGGGTTATTTGTGGGGCACAGGAATTCGTTCACCCCTCCCCCTCCCCAATATAGTCCGGCCTACCACATGGTGTGAGGGACGGCGGACCGACCCACGGCTGAAAAAGGTTGCTAACCCCTGCATTAGACCTTGAAAAGCTTCTGTATACAGGACTGCCTTCAGATGTCTCCTAAAAGTTAGTTTCTCATCTCCTTGACATCTGATGGGAGGGCGTTCCACAGGGAGGGCGCCACTACCGAGAAGGCCCTCTGCTTGGTTCCCTGTAGCTTCACATCTACATCAACATACCCCACCATCCCTAATGGTACCCATGCTTCTCGTTGCCTTTCAAGGCAATGCCTTAACTTTCCCCAACCCAGCATGAAGCTAGGTGTTCACCAAGTAGCCAAGGCTATGCTATTTAGTACCTCTAACTTGCCACCAGTAAGATAATGGGTCGGCAAACTAAGGTCCGCGGGGTGGATCAGGCCCAATTGCCTTCTAGATCCGGCCCGCGAACGGTCCAGGAATCGCCGTGTGGATCGCCAGCGCGCATGCTCTTTCCCTCTCCCTCACACGGCGGCACTTTTCTCCTCAGGGATGGAGCAATCTTGTCCCACGGCAGGTGCCGTCGACGCCGGGAGTCAGATCGCCCGCCTGCCCACCTGCCTCCTTCCTTCCTCCCATGGCGTTCAGGCAGCTTGTTGTGGTGGCTTGCGGGTTGGCAGGGGGCTCTGTCTTCTCTTTTTTTTTCCAAAAAACATTATTGGTTTTCCAAAATTTTAAACAAACAAACATACATCTTAACTGTACTTGATCCAGTTTTAGTAACATTCTTAAGTGACTTCCTCAAATCCTCCTGGCTGAATTTCAGTGTATATCATTGTAACAGTTTTCCAAAACCATTTTTCTCATAAAATTAACTTAATCACTTAACATCTTACTTTGTTTTCATTTTGACTTTAAACATATTATTCTCTAACATCACATAATTAAATCCTAAGCCAATCTGGTATTTGCAAGTTTTTCCAGTTAAGTTATCTTAGCATATTTAAGTAAATACCGTATTTTTTGCTCTATAAGACTCACTTTTTCCCTCCTAAAAAGTAAGGGGAAATGTGTGCGCGTCTTATGAAGCGAATGCAGGTTGCGCAGCTATCCCAGAAGCCAGAACAGCAAGAGGGATTGCTGCTTTCACTGCGCAGCGATCCCTCTTGCTGTTCTGGCTTCTGAGATTCAGAATATTTTTTTTCTTGTTTTCCTCCTCCAAAAACTGGATGCGTCTTGTGGTTTGGTGCGTCTTATAGAGCGAAAAATACGGTATTCTTTGAATTTCATCCATTCCTCCTGGTAGTCCTCCTTCTTCTGGTCACGGACTCTTCCAGTCAAGTCGGCTAGCTCCAAAAAGTCCATCATCTTCATCTGCCATTCCTCCACTGTTCGGACTTCTTGTTATTTCCAATTCTTAGCTAACAAAATTCTAGCTGCAGTTGTGGCACACAAAAACAATCTAACATTTTTGGGGGGGCAATTCCAAACCTATTATTCCAAGAAGAAAGGCCTCTGGTTTCTTAATACTCTGTCTTCTTCTCCGTGGTACCTCTCAGGAAGCAGCAGTAGGTGGTGGGTAAAAGCTCTGTTGACCCCGCCCCCCCGGTTCTTCCCTTCGTGGGTCCTCCGCCAGGGCTGCTTCTGTCTTCGCCAGCCAACGCAGTCACCTACCCCGTCACAGCGCCTGGCTGACTGGAGAAGCCCAACCGCGGCAATTGGGACGACAACTGGGACAGGTAAAGCGAAGCATCTTCAGGCCTCTTTGTGGGTGGGCAAAAATCGTTGATTTTTCTCTCTCTTCAAAATATAGTCCGGCCCCCGACAAGGTCTGAGGGACAGTGGACCGGCCCTCTGCTGAAAAAGTCTGCTGACCCCTGAGCAAGATGCTTATACAGTGGTACCTCAGGTTAAGTACTTAATTCATTCCGGAGGTCCGTTCTTAACCTGAAACTGTTCTTAACCTGAAGCACCACTTTAGCTAATGGGGCCTCCTGCTGCCGCCGCGCCGCCAGAGCACGATTTCTGTTCTCATCCTGAAGCAAAGTTCTTAACCTGAAGCACTATTTCTGGGTTAGCGGATTCTGGAACCTGAAGCGTATGTGTCAGGGGTTCAGGAGCAGAGGCACAGGAAAGGGAGGAAATAGAGAGCGAGGGGGAGGAGTCCGAAGGAAATGTTAGCGATGACAGCGGTCCGAGGTCTCTGAGTCTTTCCAGCGAATCGGAAGATTCACAGAAAGGGGCTCCCTTGGTCAGAGCAAGGGGGGTGCCGAGGGGACACCCCAGGAAGAAGGGGCCAGAGGGGACTCAGAGAGCAGCAGTTGGAAATCAGGACCAGCGTCCACACCAGAGTGCAGTAGGGGGGAGGGGTCCCAGGCATCGGGATCAGGCGGCGCACTGCCAGTGGGAGGACATGAGTCAGGATTGGCCACGCCTCCATCGGGGAGCGAGGAAACGGTCGAGAGGAAGGTTGAAGGCTGGGCGCGCGCGCCAAGTTCAAATGTACAGGAGGGCGGCGCAGTTGGCAGCCCGGATAGGGAGCCAGGTCCCAAAGCCCGCCGAAAAGAGGGGGAGGAGTCAGGGGGGTCAACGTCAGCGTCAGAAGAATCCAGGAAGGAAGGGACCCCGGGGGGTAGCAGGACCCAGAGGAGAAAGGAGAGACGTAAGAGGTGGAGTAAGGCTAGAATCTTAAACTGGTGTACAGGGGCGGAGACTCAGATGGAGCTTCGCCGATCTAACCCCTAGACGTAGAGCTGGGCGCTGCGGCTTGAAAATGGAAACTGTACTTCAATAAAGACTTTTGTACATTACTGCCGGCTAGCGTTGGTCCTCTGTGAGCTGGGACCTGGAGCCAGCTCTGACAGTAAGCTCCATCTCCTAAAGTTTTGCACCAAAAACCTCGTAACGTGAGTGGACGCAGCGAGGAAGAAGATTGGTGCTTCGCGAGCTCACAAAAGTCAGGCAAGATGACTACAGAACAGCAACTAGCAGCCCTGCAAAATGCAGTGACACAACTCAACGCGGAGGTACTCGCATCCAGGAAAAGGGAAGAGGAAGCGGCTGCCGCCTGCAGGGATCTCCAAGCCAGGTTGGAAGTGCTTGCTAAGCAGGGGCAACCGGGACCCAAATCAGAGGGGATTGGGCTGGGGAAAGAGGAGGCAGCCTGGTATCTCATTTCGATGGGAATTTGCAGCAGTACCCTAACTTCCGAGCAGACGTGCTGTTTGCGCTGGAACTGCTGGATAAAGACTTTAGAGATGAGCAAGAGAAGGTGGGGTTTATCTTGTCCCATTTGCATGGGGAAGCTAAAGCGTGGCTGCGCAATCTGTGGAGAGATAAGGATCCGGCGCTCCAAAATGCGGATGCATTCATTAAAGCGATGGATTCGTGTTTTTATCAAATATAGACATTGATATCGCCAGAAAAGACATACATGGGCTCAAACAAGGCAGAGCCAGTGTAAGGCAGTACCATTCCCGCTTTTTGCATTAGTCCATGCGCTGGGATGGGAGAAGGATTCTGCCCCAGCCAGAGACCTTTTTGGGAAGGCTTGAATGCAAATGTGAAAGATGAGATTGCAAGGGGGGAGAGACCAAAGAGCACTCAGGAGGTTGTCCGGCGGGCGCTGCAAATTGGGGTGCGTCTGGAAGAACGTCCATGGAACAGAGAAGAAGGACGTTGGGGACGTACGCCAGTGAGAGCACCTTCCCTCTTTCCCAAGGATGCAGCGCGTGTGCAATCCCCACCTCCGCAAGGAGGGGGAGAGCAACCGATGGAGATTGGAGGCGCCAGGGCTCAGTCAGCAACCAGAGCCCTAACACCGGGAGCAGTCAAAGCGAAGCCTCCTAGAGGGAACAGGAAGTGCTACATCTGCGACAGTGCTCAGCACATGGCGAAAGAGTGTCCCCAGAGGCTCCACAAGCACACTGCAGCCTCAGCAACAGTAACAGACGCAACTCAGCAGAGAGAACCACAGCAGGGAAACGACAGAGTCTGGTTGGAGGAAGAGGCACTGGGGCCCAGCCAGACAAGTCAATGAAGCCGTCCCCAGAGATTTTGCAGCCCACAGACCCCCTCCCGCCCAAACCAGTGGTGCAGCTCACAGCATCGCTCCAACTACCCAATGGACTCACTATGGAAGTGCCGATTACCATTGACTCTGGTAGTAACGCAGACTTCATAGGACTGGATTTCATTCAAGAGCACAACATAGCACTCCTGCCAGCCACGCTGCCTCTGAAAGTTGTCACGGTGGATGGCAGGGAATTGCTGTGGGGGCAGGTGGTGCAGCAAACGCCTCCGATGGTGATGCAAATTGGGAATCACCGAGAAGTCATCAGCTTCAATGTCACCCAACTGTCGGACACGCCTATAGTATTAGGCATGAGTTGGCTGCACAGGCACAGCCCAGCATTGGCGTGGTACCAGCGACAACTGACCTTCGGCTCCTCATACTGTGCGGAACATTGCATTCTGCCTAGCCCGGAAGGGGAAGAGGATGACCCGCAGCTACAATTAGGCACGCTGCAAGCAGTGCCACTCAAGTACGCAGCGTTTTTGGAGGTTTTCTGCGAGAAGGAAGCGGACAAGCTACCTCCCCACAGGTCCTATGACTGCAAGATTGACCTCCTGCCAGGGGCGACGCTGCCAACCGGGAAACTGTATTCCATGTCTGAAGACGAGCTGCAGGAACTCAGGGAGTTCATAGACCTCAACTTGAAGCGCGGTTTCATCCAGGAGTCGAAGGCAGTGGGGGCAGTCCTGTATTCTTTGTGAAGAAGAAGGACACGCCCCAAAAAGGCTTGTGGTGGACTATAGAATTTTGAACTCGAAAACCAAGCCCACAGCCTTTCCCATGCCCAAGATAGATGACCTGCTCGCAACGGTGAGGAAAGGACGCGTTTTCACAAAGTTGGATCTGCGGGGGCGTACAACCTGATTCGCATACGGGAGGGCGACGAATGGAAGACTGCCATGTTCACGCCCCTGGGCACCTATGAATACAGAGTTATGCCCTTTGGATTACAAAATGGCTCCCACTGTTTTCAAGCCTTCATGCATCACGTATTGGCGGGTCTCCTCTACAAGAAATGCGTCTGCTTCCTGGACGACATCCTGATATTTTCAGAATCAGAGGAGACCCACGAGGGAGACGTCAAGGAAGTTCTGCAGAGACTGCAGGAGCACAGGCTGTACGCCAAGCTGGAGAAGTGCCAGTTCGACATGAAGGAGGTAGATTTCCTGGGCTACAAGTTGTCGGACAAGGGGCTCGCCATGGACAGCGCCAAGGTTCGCTCAGTGTTGGACTGGAAGAGCCCGCGCAATCGGAAGGAGGTCCAGCGGTTTGTCGGTTTCGCCAACTTTTACCGCAAGTTCATCAAGGGGTTCGCGATGCAGACGGCGGCCATTACCGACACGCTCAGCTCCAAGAAGAAGAAGTTCATCTGGACGGAGCAAGCGGAGCAGTCCTTTCAGAAACTCAAGCGTCTCTTCTCGTCCGAAGAGCAGCTACTGCATGTGAATCCCAGCAGACCGATGAGGGTTGAAACGGACGCCTCAGACAGAGCCGTGGGAGCAGTACTG